ATTTTTTTTTTTACATTGCCCCTATTTTACATTTGAGCCCCTGCCTCTGAGGAACTCTCGGCACGTCCCTTGGTAGACATGAACTAAACTATATATACCTGGTTAACTCAACTAGTGCATTTGAAAATATGTAGTTATACTCATCCCTAATTATACATATTTTTATATTTTCCTCAATATACATTGCAGTGCGTGCATGTCACTCACGTGGTGAAGGCGGGGTTAACCTTTGCCCCCAGGTAGTAGGAATAGAGGATGAACATGCCAATCATGAATGCGAGGAAGACCATTATGAAGAGGACCATGAACTTGAAGATGTCCTTCACTGTTCGTCCCAGTGAGATCTGCAGCGGCCCGAAGCTCTCGTTAGCCGGCAGGATGTAGGCGATGCGAGAGAAGCTCAGGACCACAGCGATGGCGTACAGACCCTCAGAGATCAGCTGAGGATCTGATGGAAGCCACTTGTCTCTCGCTGAAAGAACAGGAAATTGCACATGTTTAAAGGAAGTATTAGGTAGTTAGCTGCCTCTAAATGACTTAATATTAGCTAAACTAGTGTTTATCCACAGATGTCCAGTGTTATTTTAGTATCACTGATATACCATTATCATTTTTGTTAATATTTTGAATTAGATTTTATTTTTATAATTTCTGTTTTTACTGTAATTTTATTTATATTTTTAGTAATATTGTTGGGTTTTGTGTGTGTAAGTTTTTTTTTATTTTTTATATGTCTACATAGTTTTCATACATGTCTATTATGTCTATTTATTAGTTTCTATTTATTATGTCTATTTATTAGTTTTAGTTTATTTTGGTTTAGTTATTTTACTGCATCACATTGAACTAAATGGAAATGAAAATTGTACTTGGCAACCTGATGAAATAAAAAAAAAAAGTTAAATATTTATTTCAGTTACCATTCTCAAGTAACAAAAATGTTAAAAATGACTATGGTGTGCACACCAATCGCCAAATCCTTACATGTAATAAAAATCATTACATTTAACCATGTTTTAAATCATAATATCATAAAACTACCAAAATTCATGTATAATTTAAATGTATTCTATTTATCTATTTTTTAAAAGAAAACGATTTTAAAAGCGTGTCCTCTCAGATTCTCTTTGAAACAGAGCAGTGCTCAGATTCTCTCTCACCGTATGTGAAATATTTGATGTCCGGCGGCAGCGTGACCATTGAGAGGTCTGGAGCGTGGATCTTCTCATCCACATACTTCTGGGCTTTCATGGCCTGCAGGAAGGCGAAAAAACGGGCGGTGAATGCCGCAATGAAGATGGAGAGCATGCCGAAATCCAGCACATTCCAGAGCTGCATGACATATTCCCTCGGACCCTCCGTCCAGAGCTCCTTACACTCCGACCA